GGCCCAGACGTCGTCGTCGTCGCCGTCGAAGGCGAGGTCCGGGTCGCCGTCGAGGGCGAGCTCGTCGCGGAGCAGCGCGGCGACGCGGTCGTTGCCGCGCGCCTTCGCCGCGGCGGGCGCGTCGCCGGGCACGGAGGCGCCCGCGGCGAGGAACCGCGCGACCATGAAGAGCTGGTCGCCGTCGGCGCGCGCCGCGCGCGCCAGCGGGCAGCAGCCGTCGACGTCGCGCGTGTCCAGGATCTTCGCGAGCCGCCGCGACCGCGCGTCGTCGAGCGACGCGCCGCCCGCGAGCGGCACCTCCAAGAGCAGGTCGAGGATCTTGTTCGCGCGCGCCGACGCGCCGGGCTTCGCGCCGCGGCCCTTGGACCAGTACGCGGCGACGTGCACGGGCGTCGCGCCGTCGCGGTCCGCGCGCTCGAGCAGGTCGAGCGCGTCCGGCGCCGCCGCCAACAGCTCGCGGACGACGTCGCACCGGAGGTGGTACACGGCCTCGTGGAGCGGCGTGCGGCCCCAGTAGTCCCCCAGCCCCAGCGTCGCCAGCCCCCGCGCGTCGCGCAGGAGCCGCCGCGCGGCCCCGGCGTGGCCGTTGCGCGCCGCGGCGTTCAGCGCGCGGTGCCCGCCGCGCGCCGGCCCGCGCCCCGGGTCGCCGCCCGCGGCGAGCAGCCGCTGCACGAGGTCCTCGTGGCCCCGCGCCGCCGCGGCGCGCAGGCACGCGTCGAGGTCGCCGACGTCGCGGTCGCCGCCGAGCAGCAGCGCCGCGACGGCGTCGACGCGCTCGCGGCCGACGGCGACGTCGAGCGCGGACCGCCCGCCGCTCTCCAGGCCGTCCGCGAGCGCGGCGGCGACGGCCGCGTCGAGGTCGTCGCGGCCGACGTCGTCGAAGCCGCCCCGCGCGAGCAGCACGCGCACGCACGGCGCCGCGCCCGCGGCCGCCGCGTGCCGCGCGGCGTCGCGCGCCGCGTCCGCCACCGCCGTTCGCTGCGCGTCGCCCCGCGCCGCGTAGGGCTCCGTGGACTGGAGCAGCGCGGCCACGGCGTCGACGCGGCCCCGCGACGCCGCGAGCGCCAGGGGCGTCTTGCCGCCGCGGCTCGCGGCGACGGCCACGGGCGGGTCCGCCGCCTCGAGCGCCGCGAGCAAGACGCGGAGCGCGGCGACCTTCTTCGTCGCGTGCTTCGCGGCGAAGTGGACGGCCGTGCGGCCCTGGGCGTCCGCCGTCGCGAGCGCCGCGTCGCCGGCTAGATCCCGCAGCGCCGCGGCCGCGGCGTCGGCGTCGCCGTCGGACGCGCGCTCGCAGTGGCCCGCGGCCTCGAGCACGTGGAAGACGACCTGCTGGTTCCGGTCCACGTTCAGCGCCGGCGCCGACGACGCCGCGAAGCCGAGCAAGGCGTGCTGGCGCACCGTGAGCGCGTGGATGCGCCGCAGGTGGTGCGACGCCATGACCGCGTGGCCGCGGCCGTCGTCGCAGCGGAACGGGCCGGCGGTCCGGAGCCAGCGGCGCAGCGACGCGTGGAGCACGGCGCGCTCGCCGTCGTCCTCGAGCTGGAGGAAGGGCCGCAACCGGGCCAGGGCCCGGCCAAAGTCGAGGCGCGGGTGGAACGGCTCCAGCGCCGCCGCGAGCTCGTCGACGCGCAGGGCGCGGGGCGACGCGAGGAGCACCTCGAGCGCGGGCCGCGCGCCGTCGGCCCACTCTTGGCCCCGCGGGTCGAAGCGCTTCGCGAAGAGCGTCTCGTAGAGGCGGTCGAGGTCGCGGGGCCGGTCCGGCTCGTCGCCCAGCAGCTCCGCCAAATCGCGCGCCGCCGACGCCTTGTCCTCGGCGACCAAATCGAGCACGGCCTTGGCGAACTGGAAGCTGCCCTTGGACGCCGACGCCACGCGGTCCGCGAGCCGCGCGTCGCGGTCCCGGAGCTGCGCCTCGGGCAGGCCCAGGCGCGCGAGCGCGTAGTCGCGGACGTCCGAGACGCCGCGGGAGCCGTCGAGGTCGACGGCGGACCGCGGCGCCGCCGCGAGCGCGCGCGCCGCGTCGCCGTCCTCGGACCGCGCCGTCGCCACGAAGGCGAGCCAGTCCGGCGCGTCGCGCGCCGCGAGCGCCAGCAGCCGCGGGATCGTCAGCTCGTCCGAATCGCCGCCGCACTCGTCCAGACCGTCGACGACGAAGACCAACCGCGCGGCGCCCGGCCGCGGGATCGTGCCCAGGAGGCCCAGCACGCCCCGTAGCGCCACGACCTTGTCCGGCTGCTCGCAGACGCGCAGCAGCTCCTCGGCGCCGGGCACCGCGACGTCGCGCTTGAAGGCCGCGGTCAAAGGGCTCGACACGAGCGCCGCGGCGAAGTTGTGGACGAAGAGCTCCACGGACGTCGTCTCCGGCGCGTGGCCCAGGCAGAAGTGGGCGCCGACGACGCCGACGCCCCCCGCGCCGCCGAACAAGCGCCGGTGGTTCCGGCCGGGGACGCCCGGCGGCCGCCGCTTCACGGCCTCCGGCGCGACCAACCCCGCCATGAGCGTCGACTTGCCCGCGCCCGACGAGCCCGTGACGAGCACCAAATTGCCCCGGGGCCCCCGCGCGACGCGCCGCAGCAGCTCGCGCCAGAACCAGCGCCGCGGCGCGACGGCCTCCGTCGCCAGCCTCAGATTCCGCGCGTGGTCCAAGAACGGGATCGACCGGCACGCGACGTGGCGCCAGCTCCGCGTCACGGGCTTGCCCTCGGCCTTCCACTCGCTCTCCCGCGACAGGCGCAGGTCCCTCGACATGGCGTAGACGCTCTCGGACCGGCGGATCCACGCCTCGTTCGAGTCCGCGCCCTGGAAGTAGACGGGCTCGCCCGACCCCTTCTTGACGCGCACGACGACGACGTAGCGGTCCGGCCCGCTCCCGGGCCCGACGACGGGCACGTAGACGCAGCGCACGGCGTCGACGTCGAGCTGCGGGTCCACGCGCTGGGTGGCGCCGTCGACGAGCCGCGTGACCTGGCCCATCTCCTCGGGCGCGAGCACGCAGCCCGACACGGCGCCGTCGTCGTCGACGCCGAAGAGGATCTCGCCGCCGCCCGAGTTCGTGAAGGCGTTCACGTACTTGCCCACCTTGTCCTTGATGACCTTCGTCGCCGGGTCGTACCTGTGCCGTGCGACGGGAGCTCGGGATCGGCGGGTGGCTCCGGAACACGGAGACTCGGAGATTCGTAGAAAGACGCCGGAGCGCGACTGGCAGGTCTTGAACTCGCGCGTGTAGGTCTCGCCGCCGGCGAGGACGGAGAGGTACTCGAGGCTCTCCGGCGGCGGCGCGGCGACGTCGTAGTCGTCGCCGGGCTCGTCGAAGGTCGCGGAGAAGAGGCGCTGGGCTTGTGGCAGTTTGGTGGTTCTTTGGGTTCCGGGGGCGCGCAGGGCCGACGCCGAGGCGAGGATCGCGGCGGTGCGCACCCGCATCGGCCCCTGCGCGACGCTGCGAAGCGTTCGGCTCAAGATCCGCGGCGCGAGGCGCATGAATCCATCGGCAGCGCGGAAGGACGGCGTCTTGTTCGAGATGGAGCACACGTCTCCACAAATTCAGCTTTGCCTCTGGCGAGCAGATTTTGACTTCATCATTACCCGGCCTTGATCATGACCTTGCCGGCGCTCTTCGCCGGCCGCTTGTGCTTGCGCACGCCCGGCTTGGCCTTGGCCTTGTGCGGCTTGGGCGGCGGCGGCGGCGGGAGGCCCGGCGGCCGCGCGGCCGCGCGCGCGCCGCGGTCCTCGCAGGGGAACTTGGGGAACCGCGGGAAGGGCGGCTCGACGTCCGGCGCGCGGCCGGACCGGCGCGCGTCGTCGAGGGCCGCGTAGAGCGCCTCGTTGTAGGGGTCGAAGACGGCGCCGAGCGCGTCGCGCGTCGCGCACGAGATCGTCCGCTGCTTCTTGCCGTCGTCCTGCGCGTTGATGACGGGCATGGCCTTGACCTTGGCGCGCTGGGCGTCGCCGTGGGGCACGCGGAGGAAGGACGCGACGAGCGCCGTCGTCGCCTTGGGGTTCGCGAGCATGCTCCGCGATTCCAGAACCAGTAGATCCTTCCGGCCGAACGACGCGCTCCACGCGTCGAGCTGGGGGCCGTAGAGCCCCGCCCAGAGCCCGTAGCGCAACGCGTCGAAGACCCGGGACACGTTCGCGCCGTTGGACCGCCAGATGGCGAGCTGGCAGGTCGCGAAGGCCTCGTAGCCGCGGAACCGCGTCGCCGGGCACGCCTGGAGCCAGTCGACGCGCTGGTGCCGCTGGTGGTTGAAGGCGCTCAGGTCCCGGGCGACGGGCTCCCGGAGCACGGCGATGAACTGGAGCCTCCGGCCGAACTTGGCGGGCACGGCGCCGCGGAGCAGCGCGGGCACGCGCGCCTCGACCAGATTATTCGGCGTCGCCTCGACGAAGCCGTTGCGGCAGTGGCGGAGGCCGGCGATGTGGCGCGGGTAGAGGCGCGTGAAGTGGGCCGCGTCGCCGTAGTCCCAGCCGTCGCCCGTCGCGTTCGCGCCGCGCTCCGCCTGCCGCGCGGCCTTCTCCCAGTAGTGCGTCTCCTTGTGGAAGTACTTGGCCGCGGCCGCGTTCGGGCCCGTGAGCTCGGCGCCGCAGACGCCCAGCGACTTCTCCATGACGTTGAAGAGGCTGCAGGACCCGGACTTCTGCGCGCCCAGGAGCCAGAGCCGCGGCCAGCAGCCCCGCTCCAAATCTTCGTCGCACATGTTGTGGGCCGGCTTCCCGATGCGCGCCCCCTTGTGGTCCTCGTCGCGACCGAGCGCCTTCGGGTGGCCGCCGTCCGACGCACCGAGGGCTAGCGCGAGGCACACCCAGCGCATGATTTGGCCGCGCGCGAGGGGCTACATAGGCCGCATCGTGTGCGGGCAGTCTTCAAGGTCGACTTTGGGGCTGCTTTGCTCGCCGAAGGTGCTGCCACAGAATTTACACCCAGTCCGATGGCGCGCGCTCTCGCTTTGGTAAGTTCGCAGGTCGTTCTTTGAGCACCTTCGCTTGGTAGACGCACAGTTACAATGTCTGCCCTCGCGGACGCGCCGTTCACGCTGCTCCTGCGGAACTGCCGCGTTGCCACCATGGCCGCCAACACATCGGCGCCCTACGGCGCCGTGCTCGACGCGTCGATCGGCGTCGCCGGCGAGCGCATCGCCTTCGTCGGGCCCGCGTCCGCCGTGCCACAAGGCCGCGTCGCCGCCGGGACGGAAATCGTCGACCTCGGCGGCCGCTGGGTCACTCCCGGCCTCGTCGACTGCCACACGCACGTCGTCTACGGAGGCGCGCGCGCGGCGGAGTGGGAGCTGAAACTCAAGGGCGCGACCTACGAGGAGGTCGCGCTCGCCGGCGGCGGCATCGTCAACACCGTCGGCGGCACGCGCGCCGCCGGCGTCGACGGGCTCGTCGCGGCGGCGCGGCCGCGCGTCGAGGCCATGCTCCGCTGCGGCGTCACGTGCCTCGAGATCAAGAGCGGCTACGGCCTGAACCTCGCGGGCGAGCGCGCGCAGCTGGCGGCGGCGCGGCGCCTCGGCGAGGAGCTCGGCGTCGACGTCGCGACGACGTTCCTCGGCGCGCACGCGACGCCGCGCGAGTTCAAAGGCCGCGACGACGCCTACGTCGACGAGGTCGTCGCGATGCTGGCGCCGCTCAAGGACGAGGGCCTCGTCGACGCCGTCGACGCGTTCTGCGAGAAGGCGGGCGTCGGCTTCTCGCCGGCGCAGACGGGCCGCGTCTTCAAGGCCGCCCGGGATCTCTGTCTGCCGTGCAAGGTCCACGGCGACCAGCTGCAGGGCGCGTTCCACTGCGGCAAGCTCGCGGCGGGCTGGGGCTGCCTCGAGTGCAGCCACTGCGAGTACGCGTCGCCCGAATCCGTGGAGGCCATGGCCGCCGCGGGCACGGTCGCCGTGCTTTTGCCGTCGGCGAACTACTTCATCAAGGAGCGGGCGACGCCGCCCGTGGCCGCGTTCCGCGCCGCGGGCGTGCGCATGGCGCTCGCGACGAACTGCAACCCGGGCTCGTCGCCCTGCTGCTCCCTCCTCCTCGTCATGAACATGGCCTGCACGCTCTTCGGCCTCACGCCCGAGGAGGCGCTCGCCGGCTGCACGCGCCACGGCGCCGCCGCGCTCGGGCAGGGCGCGGACCGCGGCACCGTCGAGGCCGGCAAGCTCGCGGATCTCGCCGTCTGGGACGTCGACGGGCCCGGCGAGCTCGCCTACTACCTCGGCCTCGACCTCCTCGACCGCGTCTACCGGCGCGGAAAGCTCCGGCGTTCCTAAGCGTAGCCGCCCTTGGTCCAGCGCCCGGCGACGCACGTGTCGAGGACCAGGCCTTCGGCGCTCCCGCCGAAGATCGCCGCGCCGAGGACGTCCTCCGCGCCGGCGAGCGCCGGCGCGTCCAGATCCAACAGCGCGAAGTCGGCCCAGGCGCCCGGCGCGAGCGCGCCTGCGTCGACGCCGAGCGCCGCGGCGCCCTCGGCCGTCGCGGCGCCGAGGAGCGTCGCCGCGAGCTCCGGCCGCCTCGCCGCCGCCGCGTAGCAGCCCCGCCGCCCGCTCGCGAGGCGCTGGCTGTACTCGAGCCAGCGCATCTCCTCGAACATGTCGACGCGCGCGTTGCAGTCCGTGCCTAAAAAAGGGTCCGTTTCCGCCGACGTTTTCGGACGGGACGCCGGCGCCGCGCCGAGGCTCACGGCGCCGCGCGACGCGTCGAGCGGCCCGAAGGCGCCGTCGCCGAGCGACGCCTCGGTCAGGGGGCAGACGCAGACGCGGCCGCCCTTGGCGAGAAAGGCCTCGAGGTCGCCGGGGTCCGTGTGCGTGCAGTGCACGGCCGTCGCGCGGCTCACGTCCGCGTGGTCCAGCAGGAGGCGCATGGGCGTGACGCCGTGCGTCTTTAAACAGTCGGCGACCTCCTTGGGCTGCTCCTCGATGTGGAGGTGGAAGGGCAGCCCCCGGTTTCGCGCGCCCGCGGCGAGCGCCGCGACGTCGCCCGGCGCCACGGCCCGCAGGCTGTGGGCGACGACGCCGAGCCCGTCGCCGCGCCTCGTACCCTCGGCGTCGCCGACGACGTCCGCCTGTGTGGAAATCAACCACTGGTTTGGGGGGTCCCCACCAAACTTCAGAACTCTCTATCTCAATCAAATCGACGTCGATTCGGCTGATTTTTGGACGGATGGATTGCTCTCGTCGAGTTCTCGAAGCACAGCGAAAGAGTCTGGTCCAAATCGTTCGATTGCGCGCACATTGAAGTCGGGTTGAAGATTTGATTTCCACACAGACGCCCGCGAGGCGGTCGAGCGCGGCCCAGTAGGCCTCGAGCGACCCGCTCGCGAAGCGCCGCTGGCCCGGGCCGAGCGCCTCGCCGCCGAAGCCGCCGCGCTCGTAGAGCGCCGCGAGCAGCACGACGCGCACGTTCGCCTCTCGCGCCGCGTCGACGACGGCCAAATCGTGCTCGAAGGACCGGCCGGGCCCGTGGCGGAAGTAGTGGAACTCGCCGACCGTCGTGATGCCCGCCGCGGCCATCTCCCGGAAGCACGCGAGCGTCTCCGCGCGGAAGGCGTCCACGGAGTCGAGGCCTTCGACGAGGTCGTACCTAGGGAGAGCGACGTGCCCTCGGAAGTTTTTTCGGGGACGCGGACGTCCGCGCATGGCCTCGCGCCACGTCCAGAACGACGGCCGCGCCGCGTCGTCCAGGGCGTAGGTCTCGCCCCGGCCCCGGAGCCCCCGCTGGAAGGCGTGGGAGTGGGCGTTGACGAAGCCCGGCAGCACGGCGCCCGGGAGCCGCGCGCCGTCGCTTCGGCCGCGCTCGACGGACGCGACGCGGCCACCCGCGTCGACGGCGACGACGACGTCCCGCTCGAAGGCGGCCCCGGTCCAGGTCAGCGTCGGCGCGTAGCGCGTGGTCGTCGACGCCGCGACGGCGGGCCCGCGCGCGGCCTCGACGACCCAGGGCTCCGGGTGCGCGTCGTTGAGCCGAGCGGCGTACGCAAAAAACGCGTCGCGGTGGTACTCGTCGAAGGCGTCGGCGAGCACGAGGCCGCCGGGCGTCGCGATGTCCGGGAAGAGGATCCCGTCGAGGTGGTCCTGCTCGTGCTGCAGCGTGCCGGCCGCGTGGCCCGCCGCCAGAACGCTGAAACTCGACCCGTCGGGCCGCCGCGCGGCGCAGCGCACCTTGGACGCGCGGGCCACGCGGCCGCGGACGCCGGGGATGGAGAGGCAGCCCTCGAAGATCTCCATGGGCGCCTCGTCCACGACCTCGAGCTCCGGGTTGACGAAGACCGTCAGCGGTAGTTTCGGCTTGTATGGGTAGCGCGGGTTCGCGCCGCTCCCCTCCACGACGAAGATGCGCCAGCCCTCGCCGATCTGGGGGCCGGCGATGCCCGCGCCGTTGGCGTCGCGCATCGTGTCCACTAAATCGGCGACGATGGCGTCGAGCGCTGGCGTGCCGAACATGGCCTCGGGCACCGGTTTTGCCTGTTCGCGCAGGCATGGCGTGCCGAGCGGCGGCAGCGCGCGCACAGCGAAACCGCGCGCATGTGCCGTGGCTAGGCGCGACCGTAGGAGTGTGTGCAAAGCCATTGCGGTTCGCTGTCAACGCTCGGAAGGCATCAAACCTAATAGCTTTGCCACAAGCGGAAAATGCAATCTGACTTCATTAACCTTATATTGAAGGTAGGGCCGGTCGTGGTCGGCGACCTCGATGAGTCTCAGCGCGCTTTGCACGCAGGATGTTATGGACACGCTCAGCCCGCGAGGGCCGCCGCCAGGAGCGCGTCGTCCGCGTCGTGGGGCACCGTGAGCTTCAATTTCGGCTCGGCCTTCATGGCCCGCGCCGCGGCGAAGCGCGCGTTGTCGTTGCGCGCCCAGGCGCGGCGCGAGACGCCGTTGGTCACGTCCCAGTGGAGCATGCGCGCGGCCTTGGCGCCCGCGTCGTCGGACCCGTCGAGGACGTGGCCGAAGCCGCCGTTCGTGACCTCGCCCCAGCCGCAGCCGCCGCCGTTGTGGAGCGCGACCCAGGTCGCGCCGCGCGCCGCGTCGCCGATGCAGTTCTGCACGGCCATGTCCGCGCAGAACGCGGAGCCGTCGGTCACGTTCGACGTCTCGCGGAACGGGCTGTCGGTGCCCGAGACGTCGTGGTGGTCCCGCGAGATGACGACGGGCGCGGCCAGGACGCCGTCGCGCACGGCGTCGTTCATGCGCTTCGCGATGAGCGCGCGGCCCTCGCAGTCCGCGTAGAGAATCCGCGCCGCGGAGCCGACGACCAAGCCGTGGCCGCCGGCCTCCTCGATCCACTTGAGGTTGTCCGCGCACTGGTCCGCGACGCGGTCCGCGCCCTCGGCCCTGGCGGCGGCCGCGACCTCGCGGAGCACGGCCGCGGCGATGGCGTCGGTCTTCGCGAGGTCGCCGGCGTCGCCCGACGAGCAGACCCAGCGGTAGGGCCCGAAGCCCAGCGAGAAGATGTCGCCCATGATGTCCTGGACGTACGTC